GGGCGGCGGGGCCGGGGGCTCCGCGGGCGGCAGGGCGGCGGGCGGGGGTGCGCCGCTGTTTAGGGTGCAGCAGGCGCGGGGGCGCCCCCTGACGAGCATCCATTTGGACAGGCTCAAGGTGGGCTGATAGTGATCAGGTTTTAGGGTTTAGGGTGTAGGGTCTCTGGGCCACCCGAACCAAACACTGAATTGTAGGTGGCGGCTGGGGGAATTAGGGACTGCAACAACAGCAAGCCCCGCCAGCAGTGTCACGATGCGTGCACGATAGCGGTGTTCTCAGGCGCATCGTCCTGGGGAGCTCGCTCCAAGGTCGTGCCACCCACGCACCAGCACCCTCCGCCGGCCTCCATGCAGCGGACCCCGGGCTGGACGGCCCTGCCCTGCAGCGCCCACTATCCCCCCCACCCCACACCACCCCACACCACACCACTCACAAACCCAAACAACACGTGTGTCCCAAACGCAGCTGGTGACGGCGACCGCGGCGGTCCAGCTGCACTCTGACGCGTCGCTGTTCGTTTGGTCAGCGCTGGATGGCCAGCCCCTGCGCAGCCTCAGCAGCACGTGAGCCCACCACGCGCGTGCGCACCACCTTCACGCACCCTACCATCCGTGGGGCGCACCAATCGCGCGTGCAGCACCCGCCCACGCCGTTGGGCCCCTCCATGCGCCGTTGCAACCGCGGGCGGCCCCCAGCCTGTTGCCTCAGCCGCACGGCCCGCGTCTCCTGTTCCTGCGCCGCGCTCCCCCTGCTGCTGTGCCCTTACTGCACCCTTTGTCGCCCACACCTGCCCACCCTCTGCCCCGGCCCCCTGCGGTGCTGCGCGTGCAGCGAATCGCCGGTGCAGCTGCAGCAGCAGCTCAACCCCCACGAGGCGCTCTTCCAGGGAGGGGACGACGACGCATGTGAGCCGCATCGCGCGCGGCGCCGCTCCCAACCGGCACGCCGCCGCCCTCCGCGCCCCTCCCCTGCTCTGTCATCCCCTTCCTCGTAAGCGCTGTGCCTGCCTGCGTGTGCCCCCGGAGGCATGGGCGTTCCCTTGACGTCCCCCATGACCCTGAGCCCTGGCTCCTTGCCTCCTGGCCACGTCACCAACGGCTGCACCCGTGCCTCGCCCCTTTGCCTGACACAGGGGAGCTACTGGAGGTGAGGGGCGCGGGGGGTGCACGTGACTTCACATCACGGGGGCGCGGGCGCGTGGATACGTGGCCTCAGGGTGCACGGCTGGGCAAGGGCGCGCCAAAAGTGCCAAAAATCACTCCCCTGCCCCCATTTTGCTGCGCCTGGGCTGCCGCCTGCTGCATTGTGAGGTGCCAAACGGGGGCGCCCTTTGGGGACGGGCGCGCCTGGCGTCCTCCTGCGGCCATCCCGCCCTCCCTCCCACCGTCGGAAGCCGAGGCGCGACGCGGCTGCTGTGCCTGCAGGCTCTGGACGCGGACCAGATGCAGGCGATGATGATGGGGGCGCACCACCAGCACCACCAACACCATGGCGGCGGCGACCCTGCCGATGGCGGCGATGAGGACGGCGACGCTGACGACGCCAGCTCAACCAGCAGCAGCAGCAGCAGCAGCAACAGCAGCAGCAGCGCCGGCGCCGGCGGCGGCGAGGGCGCCGGCGTGGCGGACGGTTGGGCGGCCGGGGACGGATTGGACGAGGATGAGGGGCCGGCCGACGAGCGCGGCGCCATCGCGCGCGCCAAGGAGTCGGGGGTGCTGGGGCGGCTGGAGCCGGGCGTGCTGGCGCTGGCTGTGGACGGGCCGCTGGTGGCGACGTGCAACACGCTGGGTGGGCCGCTGGACCGCCTCGGCAACGGGGCCGCGGTGGCGGGCCCCCAACCTTGTCGCCGGGCCTCCTGCCCTCCGCGGCGCTCGTTTTGGGCGCTGCCCCTGCGCGTGCTCCCTGGCTTCATTTTGCACCCGTTGGACTTCCGCGCGCAGGGAGCGAGGTGGTGACCCGTAAGGCAAGCTTGGTCACGCCTCCGAGCCCGGCCCCCTCACCCGCCCAACCCTGCGCCCCGCAGGCTTGACGCTCGTGGCGGATTACTCACGGGCCACGCTGGCGCACGGCTGGTGGGAGGCGGGCGCCGACCGCCCGGCGCTGCGCGGCGGCGCGGCGGCGGCGGAGGAGGGCGACAGCAGCGGCAGCGAAGACGAGGGCCTGGCCGGCAGGTTTTGGTCTGCGATGGCGATTTGACGGCGGCTGAACAGTGGCATGGTCATGCGGGACTCTGTCCGCATGCGGGTGTTCTTTGTAGGTGGCCGCGCAGGGGCATTATCGAGTTGATGATGCATTGTGCTGTCTTGGGTTGCGAGTCTACTGCTGGAGTGCAGATTCGTGCCTGCATGTTGTGACTGTGCACGCAAAGCGCCACAGCTGCGCACGCGCTGTAAATGAGACCACCCTCCTCGGCCTTGCTTTGGCTGCAGCGGCGCACACGCGCCGCACGTCACCACATGCAGGCGCCTCATACGGTGGCTGCGGCGGGCAGCAGGGCAGGATGGGGGGTTCCCTGAGAAACATTACAATTGCAGCGGCCTGACAATTGCCCGCTGGGCGGTGCGCGGAAGCCTTGAGATGTGGTGGCTGCAGCGGGGTCGCAAGTGATGGTGGGGGCGTGGGCAGTGCGCGGCGCTGCTGCGCGCGCGCTGGCAAACCTTGTGTTCACGCAACGCGGCTCTTGAAAGCCTACGGGCAACAAAGCAAAGGCTGTTCATATGCTTCTCTACTGTTTGCTGCCCCCTCGACGTCCCAAATCACCTCCTGGGAAGCACACGCAATTCGCGATGACGGAGCAGTGGTGAATCAAGCGCAGGCATGGGCGGGGAGGCGGCACGGCCGAGGCAGCAAAGGCTGCGGCAATGATGTGTATACAAAAGGTGTGCAAATCGAGGGCAGGAGGCCCTTTGGCGCAGCTTTTAGGGTTGCCCAAGGTCGTCTGCCTTGGTAGGGGAGTTTGTGCATGCAAGCAAGCAGGCAATGCATCCCAAAGCATCCAGTGGCGCCTGGATCAGGTCACAGGCTGTTGGCCCTGAGGGATGAGGTTAGCACAAAACTACCTGCCCCATGGCTGGGTTGCAGTTTGGGCCGTGGGCGACAACCTCGTCCACACGACTTCCGCGGGCAAAATGACATCATCCGTGCATGTGCCCACGCACAACATTGTTGTGCTGTCTCAAAGCGCTCTCCATTTCCTAAACACACAAGTCTGCTGGGTTGCGAAGGGCCAATCGATCCCTGCACAGCCACAACAACACCAATCATTGGTGTAAGGAGCGCAAGCAGGCTGCCTGCAGCACAGCAGGTTCCGCTTGAACCATGCGGTCCCGAATCGGGTGCGCCTCCAACACAGCAAAACATTTGCGAAAGTGGAACTAGCTACTCCTGAGTAGTCACCACAAAGATGGCCATCGGTAGACGGCAAGCGGGCTGGCATGTGCCCGCGTATGGGCTGCTACCGGTAGTTGCGATGCTTCCTGGCGCAGCGCAGGGGCGCAAACCCTGCGCATGCGCAATGCAGTTATTGTGCGCATCCCACAGGCACCAATGAGGCCCCAGGTGTGGGCTCGTGTTCATGGCCGTGCAGGGCAATCCGAACATGGTCAGCAAGCGTGACAGGCGACTCTAGCCTTCATGTCGGCAAAGGCTTTGGCTAGTGTTGACGAGCGGCAAGAGCGCACCGTGTCGCATGGCTACGACAATGATACGGCTACGCAAAAACTGCGACCAACTCTGCAAAGCGCTGCGGCACACGTGAAACGCGGCGCTTGTCGCTCCCCAAACCTGCGCATCTCGCACACTCAAACCCTCGTAAACACTCCGCTCGCGACTCATCCCCAATCCCAACCCATTGTGTTTGAGAGCAAGCAAGCAGGCGTAATCTACCGGCCGTGAGCTGTGGAGAAACACACAGATGTGATTGCGTTCGGCGAGGCCTTGGCAGGCTGGCGTGGGAGGCGACAACAGCAGCCGGCCTGCACTCTAGCCGCGGCCCACGGCTTTGAGATGCTTCGGGCCGCACTTCCCGGGCCGTACGCAAGCCCCCAACCCCCCGCCACGCAGTGCCGCCAGGGCTGCGCCGGCGCCACGGCCCACGGCGCCGCTCACACACGCAGTGCGTCACGCGCGCGCCAGCAGCGTCACGCGCACCTCCTGGAACCCGGGCAGCGCCGTCGCGAGCGCCGGGTCGCAGGCCAGGCTCAGCGCGGGCGCCGCCACCAGCAGGGACACGCAGCGCTCGCGCAGCCCCAGCGCCGCTAGGGGTTGCGTGGCGTCGACGGCGCCCGGAGTGGGCCCCAGGCCGCCGGTGAGACAAAAGGGAGCAGACGCCGAGGCCTTGGCGCGCATGTAGTCGACCGCGGAGGTCGAGGATCGGCGGCGCGCGGCGTCGCGGCCCCAGGAGCTGAGGCGCCGGGCGTCCCTGCCAGCACTGCGCGGCGCGCGTCCGGCGCCGCCCGTCACGCCCCCGGGGCGCTGCGGGATGTGCCAGGGGAGGGCTCCCGCGGCGTCGGCCCCCGTGAGGCGTAGGGATCCCTCCCTCACGAGCAGGGTGCAGCGGACCTCCCTAAACACCTGGGCGCCCTCTGCCGCGCCGGCGGCTGCCGCAGCGACGGCAGGCGGGGGCTGGAAGCAGCCTCGGTCGGCGTGCGTGCCGATAGCAGGCCTGAGCGGGATAAGGGGGAAGTTTCACAGCAGTGAGGCGAGGGTCTTCGGCAATCAGCCGTGCAACGACGACTGCGCCGTCCGGCATGCGTCAATCCGCACAGCGTAGGCCGGCCCTGCCTCGAACTCCCTGCAGGCATCTCTTCTCAACCCACCAAGAGGGCGGCCGCGGCGCCGCGTCGTCCCCGTCGCCGCGATTGTCGCTGCCGACCAGCACCGCGCACTGCATCTCCACGTAGCCGGGCGGCGGCGCGCCCGCGAACGGCGGGGCGCTGGCGGGGGCGGGGGTCGGCGGGCGCTGCATGGCGCACCCCACGTCCTCGCCCGTGTTGCACCAATAGCCCCCGCCCTCCTGCGGCGCCGCCCCGCGCGCCAGCGCCTCGAGCCGCGCCAGGCGGCAGCCGGGCAGGCACCCGGCCGCGGGCGGCCCGCCGCAGTCAGACGCCTGGCCGGGCGCGGCGCCCTTTACGAGGAAGGTGAAGGGGCGCTCCAGGAAGCCGAGGGGCACCCGCATGTGCGACAGGAGCATGGCACCCGGCGCGGCGCCGCTGGTCGAGCCCTGGGGCGGCGCGGCGTCAGCGAGTGGGGCGGGGCCGGCAGGCGTGGCCGCGGCCCCACTGCCGCGCGAGCCGGCGCTGTTGCGGCCGCGCTTGGGCTCGCCCGCGGGCGCGGGCGTTGGCATCGGCGCGTCTTGGTGTTGTGCTTGCGGCCCAGGTGGCGCCAAGGGGCCGTCTGGCCCGCGCGAATCCTGGTCTCTGCCACCATGCTGATCAGTGTCGCTGGCGCCGTGGCCCCCGCCGCCGCCCCCCTCGCCCTCGGGGCCCAGTGCGCCGGCCGGCTGCACGGCCGGCTGTGGGGAGGGCCACCACGCGGCGGCGCCGCTTGCGAGGTTGAACGCGGCCGCGGCGGCGCCGGCGGCGGCGACGCAGCACGCGAGCGGCAGCCAGTGGCCGGCGGGGCAAAGGAGGTATGCAATTGCTGAGAGTGCCGCGATCTTGGAAGCCAGTTGGATCGCAAACACGGGGAGGCGCAGCTGTGGGTGGGGTTGCGAATTTGCGAGGGGTGGGGGGGGGAGAAACCGGTAGGAAATACCGCGTGCGCTCCGGCCGGTTGCAGCCGCTGCCACTGGTTCTGCGTTGAAGTGTGCGCGGCGCCCGTGCCTGTCAAGGTTGGCTGCGCCATTCGCACACCCGTATCCACAACCATGCACCTGAGGCCCGCGGCTCGCGTTCGCCTCGCCCGCCCTCACCGCACAGGTCGCGGCGCAAAGCTATCACCCTGCGCACCCACCTGGAAATAGAACAGCGAGCCGCAGCAGCCCAGCAGAGCCAGCCGCAGCGTGCCCAGCGCGCCGCCCGACAGCGGGCGCTTGCACGCCACGGCGCCCGCCAGCAGGACGGCGGTGTTCAAGGCGTCTGTCGCCACGCAGAAGGGCTCGCGGTGCGCGTCGTACCTGCACCGGTGTTGCGGATCAAGTGGCACGTGATGGGGGCTTGAGCAGCCGAATTTGTGCGGTCAGTCGTGCCCTGATGCCCCCAGGTGCGCAGCTGCGCGACGCCGTGCCGACGCGGGCGGCGCAAATGTTGAGTCTGGGCGCTGCCGATCGGGCATGTTTTGCGGGCAGCACGCCATAGGTGACAGATCCTGAAGCCATTGATGAGTCAGGAGCGAGGGCGCCAGTGGCAGCGTCCTCATCAGGGAGCGACACGACCACCCCTGGAATCGCAATCGCAACCCACCAGCTCGCAAAGCGCCGCCACATCAGCAGCATTGCCTGCGCCAGCAACGCCGCCGCCAGGCACGCGATCGCAGTGCGCAGCCCCGCGGTGCCCGGCGGGAGCGCCGCAAAGTGGGCAGCCGCGGCGGCGTCGGGGGTGGCGGCAGGGGGGGAGGCCTGGAAGAGGGCCAGGGCAAACAGCGCCGACAGAATCACCATGGATTGTGCGTCGCGCTCGGCGCGCGGCGAGCCAGGCCAATCCAGAGAGGCGTCCCGCGGATCCGCCGGCGCGACGGCTGGGGCCGAGGCGCCGCCGCCGCGGGGCAGGCGACTTGCGGCGTGCGGCGCGGGCGCGGCGGCGGCGGCGGCGGCGGCGGCGGCGCCGGCGACGTGGGCCGGC